ACTGCAAGGGTTTGACTACTTGGTTTTGTCTAGGGGACCTTTGTAAAGCACTTTTATTTACCTATTCCCCACTCCAACTGGCTTCAGGACAAGCGTCCACAGCCTCTTCCCCCTTCTGCTCCAGCGGTTGGATGTCCGCTGATGTTGTCACGTCCAATGCAGGGCCCATAGTCCCGCATTATACATGATGACACAGAGGGACAGTCCAAAAGCCAGAGCAAAGGGGAGAGAGGTTGGGTAAGTAAAAGTCCTCTACACCAAACTAGCTAGACATACTGTAAACAAACAGTTATTCTTTGCAGTGTGTAGGTGGTCCAGCTGCAAGGGTAGTTTTCTTTTATGCAGAGATAGGCTTAAACTGTCTGCTTTAAATAACATTTAGACTGGCCTTAGAGATGTCTCCTTAAGAAATCAGAATCAAGTTGCTCATGTAATGGACTAAAGCAGCACACAATGTTAATGCTTTCCTTCTCTCTGCTTACTGAGTAGAAGATAGGAGTGATCAGCAGGCATGGAGGGTTCTCTTTGCAAACATTTCTATGTATGATAATGAGTACTTCTGAGATTTGAAGTACATGTCACTTCCAAGTGGTTCCCCATAAACGGCCCTATTCCTACACTGGTGTTGGATCAGGCCATTTATGGTCATCCACAGTTCATATTGTGTGATAGGCACTTCAGGACATATCTCACTAAGTAATCATTGTTTATCAATATCAATGATTGTAGCAGAACAGACTGAAAGGAACTGTCTTCCTTTCATATATGTTCTCAATAATACAATATCCTCTTTGTTAGTCTTACTTTTCCGCAGCTTTATATTTTTCTTCCTGACAACAGAAATTTTGTTGTTTTGAATTTACTAATGTTGATAGGTTTAGGCTGCCGTTCTGCTGCTTTTCTCCAGGCTCACTTTTGGATTAAAAAACGCATCTAAGATATAAAGTCTCTCAGGCTTTCTCTCTGAAAGAGTTTATCATTATCCTTTGGGCCTAGCTGCTAGGCCTGTTCCATTATTAAATCTGTTGCTCAGCTGAGTTTCCATGTCTTTTAATCTATGACTTGTCATCTCCCCCTTGCTGAGTGTAGATGTTTGAGACTCAACTCCTGACAGCACTAGAAACTGTACAGACCCTTCAGATCATTGCCGTCATGCCTGATGACTCCAGCTATGGCATACTTTGTAAATATCCTCATGCCTAGCACTGGAGAGCGGTAAATGTAAGGGAAGGAAGAATGTTGGAGAAATAGTGTATGGTTCCATATTGTCATTGATTTCTTTCCTTCTTATTTTATGAATTACTTTCAAGCCTTGGTTTTTAACCATTAATCCCCAGTAAAATAGCAGATACTGTATATGTGTAGGAGTGTGTGTGGACACATATAGGTATAGATGTCATCAATCATTGCATTCTGTTTTTACACAGCATCCAAACTGTTTTGGAATTGGGGTTGTATATTGAAGTGGACCTATAGTGAATGGTAAAGCTATGTTAACATTCTCACAAGAATGGATAATAAAGGGTAAAAGAAGAGCTAAAAAATTATATTTTGAACAAAGGTGAACTAATAAGTTCACCTTTGTTCAAAAATTCCAGAAGCCCCCCTCCCTAGCCCCTCATTACATTAGCTGTGACACCCACTTCGCAGGTCCATACATACCTTTCCTACCACAGCTGTGGCTGCCAGTGCAAGTATGTTTCAATCAAGTTTATGCGAGTTATACAGCCGATTGGCTGATGATGACATTTTTCATCTTGGCACGCTCAGCTATGCGAGCTCTCGCAAGCGGACGTGCTGTAGAGAAAATTACAGGACACACAGCTCGCAAAGTCTGCACGCCACCGCTCCACTCTGCTTCGCGTACAGTGTGTCACAGTCTTTATGCAAAATGATTTATTATTATTATCCATTCTAAAGTGCCAGCATAGTTTGCAGTGCTGTTTATTGAATAAAAAATAGGTTTAAATTAGACTTTAGACAAAACAAGTACAGAGACATGTAACGGAAGTAAAGAGGATCCAGCCCATACAAGTTAGCTATCTAATTTTTACAAAACTTGGTTCAAATAAAAGTGATGGGTACTCCACTAGGAAAGTCAGAAATGGAAAAAGATTTGGGGGTCATAGTCTACTATGGATTGAGCAATAGCATGCAATGCCTGGCTGCGGCAAACAAAGCTAGCTTGAAAAATTTTAGGGTGTCCAACTAGTCAGTCAAAAATGTCACCAGTCAGCATGACCGAACTATAGCCTTGCAATTAATGTTAAAAATTTTTAGGGACAGATAGAGCTTTCTTTTGGAGGTATATAAGCATCACTGTGGTTTTTATGTTTTACTATATAATGAAAAAAGTACTGTAAATTTTGGAAAAAAAAAGGTTTTCCCTACATTATGTTAAAAAACATTTATTCTTACCCATATTTTTGGTAAAGTATAAAAGATGGGGTCACGTCGGGTAAAAACGTTATATTTGCCTGATGAAGGGACCTCTTTGGTTCCAAAACGTTGCATGGAAATGCTACACCATTTAGTCAATAAATAGATTGACTGGAAGCTACATTGGAGTGCGAGTGACTTTTTTGGTTTATTGACGTCGGGTCACCACCATGCATGCCAAGACACCAAACATGCCAAGCCTTAAAATTGCGAGCGCCCGCAAAATCGCAAAAAGCAACCACACCGAAAATTGGCCATAGGCGACGCTTTAAACACTTTTAACACTATCGGTTTAGTGTTATCAGTGATTGATGGCCCTAAAATTATTGCTCTCATTCCGACGTTTACGGTGATATGGAACATGTGTGGCACAATAGGCACAATTGTTGTTTCGCACGTAGGTGCACCCGACGTATGTTTGCGCATGTGGGGGACGGGTGACTTAAAAAAAATTAGTGTTTTTTGTATGCTTCTTTCATTTTTTTTACACTTAACTTTGTTGCTATCACATGGGGGCTGAGAAGCCCCCGATGTGATAAGCCAATTTACATGACAGGTCCTCTTTATGGAGAAATCAGGGGTCTCCAAGACCCCTAATGTCACCTTGGGACCGCTAGAGAAGCTGATGAAGCAGAGATCTGCTTCACCAGCTTCTGAAGCTGGAGAGTGACAGCAGAATGCAGAAGTAATGTAATATACATCACTTCCTACATTCGGGGACTGGAAAGGAGGTCAGAGGGAGTTTGTGTAGCGATCTCTTTTTGATCTCCTGTCACAGAGCAGCCGTGCCGGCAACCGGCAACGGCAGTGACAGCTGCTGCTAATATAAGTGATCGGGCGTCTCTAGAGACGCCTGATCGCTTGAATGTAAAGCTCACGGCCGGCCGTGGTAATTAAACACTACTAAAGCTACTAAAAAGCTACTCATCCGGTTCCGCCGTCCTCGTGTTTTCGAACCCTGGTCATGCATTAAAAAAGGGATGTACAGTAGAGACAAAGCAATCATTTTTCCACTTTATAGATCGCTGGTTTGGCCTCCTCTTGAGTATGCGATTCAGTTTTGGTCACCAATCCACAGAAAGGATGTCCTTAAGAAGGGCAACGAAACTAATTAAGGGTCTGGAGGACCAAAAAGGTACGAGACAAGGTTGCTAAATTTAAACTTGTTCACGTTAGAAGTGAGGAGATTAAGAGGGGACATGATTTTGATATACAAAATGTTTTGTGGTGATGGCAACATCAGCAATAAACGTTTTACTGTAAATTCCCTAAAAAAGACTAGAGGCTACCACCTAAAATTGGTGGGGAAATGATTTAACCACAAAGGGCATAGAGGCTTCTTTTCAGTTAGAGCGCTTACATTTTGGAACTCTCTTCCACAAGCAGTGGTATCAGCTGAGAGTATTGAATCATTCAAAAATCATTTAGATACTTTCCTCAGAGACCATAACATACAGGGGTGCAGGTACTTTTAATGATTAGGCCACACAGGGACATGTATAAACACACACATGCACAAACACACACAAAGGTTGAACTTGATGGGCCTGTGTCTTTATTCAACTTCAAATGTAACTATAAAAACAAATGAGGACCATACCTAGCAAGGTGCACATGTGCAGTTTAGCGAAAAAAACAAACATTCTAAGCAAAAAAAATAAAAAATCTAAACGGTTTCAAAAATTTCCATTCAAACAGAGGTTGTTGTATATATTTGCAAATATACATGGCATCATACTGCCGCTTCATAGCAAAGTATGGTCCCTAATGTTAGTCTAATAGAGCTCCCAACTTGAATTAAATATAGTAAAAAATAAATTTAGAACAAATATACCTTGAAGGTAGCCTCTTATTTCTTTAAAGTGTAGGGACACACTAGAAGCCTAGATTCACTCAAGGGTAGCTAAAGACCTCCAGTATGTACAGTATCTGCACCAAATCTGTAGACAAAACAAGTCACAGGACAACGGGAGGAGAAAAGTATTTTGCCTGTATGAGCTTGCCATCTAAATAACAATAAATTATTTATGATCCCCCACTGTTACTCAGAAATAACACCCAGTGACCAAACAGCTTGAATTAAAACATATATATAGGTATTTTCCATGATTAGCTCAACCCCTAAACAGTTCTCCTTTGCCTATGAGTATCCCAAAGGTGATGAAAGTGGGCATGTGGCTTTACAGGATGCCAGAAGAACATTAAGCAAATAATATTTGAAAAAGTGGTGAAATTTAATGACTTGTCACTATAAGGAAGCCACTTTTGGTGTTATTCCGCCTATTCCAGACATCCCTCAAATGCCCTAAAAGTAACCAATGACAACATGAGTAAGGGAAGAAACCTGCCAGTGCCAACAGCTATATCCACTACAGAATCAGAAAGAAACAATCGGCCAAAAGCCTAGTGTGACTGATTTTGTTTTTTTTAAACTGAAACACTTGGTAAAAACAAGAGAATTCAAATGTAGGTCTCTAACATGCAACAAACATGCACTATTCAAATATTACCGGCACACTTGTTTACCAGAAATGATTGTGTTAATTCATGTTGAAACTCACTCCACTGTGCAGCTGTATTCCCATCTTTGGTAATTTCCCACTGGAAGACTGCATTGACTTTTTTAACCAGTTCATTCCCAACATCTTTAACACGACGGCTGATTTCTTCAAAGACAAGGTCACTCTGCAGTTCTGTACCCTACAAAGCAAAAGTCATCAGCTAAACAAGCCATTAGAGGACACCTAGCAATCATTTGTTACGACAGGTAAAAATACACAAAACGTTAATACTGATAATGATCCAGTATGCGGTAACTGCAAATCAATATCAAGTGCCATATAGTGGACTATCTCACTTAGTAATTTATATGATACTGCATGCCATAAAACTGAATCTTAGAACAATACCCTGTCTGCCGTACCGATAATGCTGATTAGAAAAACCTCCAATTAGGATGTATTTTGTATATTTTAGATAAAACTGAACATACGCTAAATGATAACTACTAATTCAACAGTAAAGAGGGCATTATGAGGAGACATAACGTATGCCATCTGGAATGTAGTATGCATATGACATATCATTCAAATGAACTGAGCTGCCTTTCTAAGAGGAAGTCCTAATGTGCCCTATAAACAAGTTATATAAAGGAAGGTTTAAATTGCCTTAATTACTAGCACACAAAAGATGGCGGTCAGATCATTGCACATTTACCTATTGTACACATTTTTGTTGTAATATGGTTGCTTTGTGTAAAATTTAGTATACAAGGGTATCTGAAAACTGATTCAAGGGGTTTACCTAATGGCAGAGCTATTCCATCTCCAGAAAGTCCATGTTAGCTTTTTACACACCACTGCTGCCAGGGAGCCTTAATAATTGAAGGTCACCTAATACTAAGTCTAGCATAAATTTGTAAAATGTCTACCTCTGTTATACAGCACAGTATATTTTCTATGCCCCTGGTAAAATTCTTTGAGAAACAGCGGAGACCTACACATTGGCTTCTGCACACAGCAGTATATTGGAAGTGAATCTTGACCTTTTTCCATATATGACATTGGAGCCTAACTGCTTTATACCAGTTCCGTAAATGGACACAGTGTTAAAATGGCATAGACTGTAGATATGACTGCAATTAGTTTGCACCAATTAAACAAATCATGGGAAACCTTAGGACATAACACCATCTACTTTGCCCTTAAAAGGCCAGACTAGTCCTCGCGTTTCAATGTGTTAATGGTGACACAATTACAGCAGAGCTTTATTGAATTGTTAGTCATGCATCTCGCAGCACTGTGCTGAAAAAGAAAATCAGGATAACAAGACGACAGAAGAGGAATCGATGGGGACTTCTAACAGACATGTCTATTTTTCTTTTTAAACTAATTGTGTTACACAGCGTAATGTAACACCAGTGACAACAGTATTGATGCTCTGCTTTTCCCCTGTAAACATAATAACAAATCAATATGGCAAGATAGAACTCAATTGCACTTTTATGCTTGCATTCATGTCTACCTTGTGGTTTCTGGGGCTGAAACAATCAGCTGTTCATCTGAGATCTAACCACTATAGGCAGGACAGAGTAAACAAATGTGGGGATTTGCTATCATCTGTTCAGTTAGGCTGCTCTAAAATGAGTAAATTACTCATAACACGTAAGTGGTAAAAGATATTTTGTCTTTCATTTGAAATATCACATCATGGTGCAAATTCTCCTCAAGCAATCAGAACTCTGGATGCTGGAACTAGGGCAACCAACTAATCGATTAATCGATGATGAGAACAGTGGTCAGCTTATCCGATTAGCTAGTTCGATCCCCTAGCTCTCTCCTTCATGCTGGGAGGAGGGCACAGCAAGCAGTGGGTGGGTGCAATAGAAAGCCTGCCATTGGCTATTGAAATTTCACTACCATTGCTAAAAAAAAAAAATTGCTAAAAAAAGAAATTCCACTACCTGCTGTATTTACATTCAGCTGCCGTCTGCGGAATCTTGCCACTGGCAGCTAAACTATATTGCCAAAAGTATTGGGACACCCTTCCAAATCATTGGATTCAGGTGTTCTGTGAAACTTTCTTGCTACTAAATATTCCACGGTCACCTGTTAGTGGTATTATAACAAAGTGGAAGCAACTGGGAACAACAGCAACTCAGCCATGAAGTGGTAGGCCACGTAAAATGACAGAGCGGGTTCAGCGCATGCTGAAGCACGCAGAAGTCGCTAACTGTCTGCAGAGTCAATGGCTACAGACCTCCAAACTTCGTGTGGCCTCCAGAGTGGCACAACAACAGTGCGTAGAGAGTTTCATGGAATGGGTTTCCATGGCCGAGCAGCTGCATCCAAGCTTTACATCACCAAGTGCAATGCAAAGCATGGTGTAAAGCACGTCACCACTAGACTCTAGAGAAGTGGAGGTGTTTTCTCTGGAGTGACAAATCACGCTTCTCTGTCTGGCAATCCGATGGATGTCTCTGGGTTTGGCAGTTCCCAGGAGAACGGTACTTGCCTGACTTCATTGTGCCAAGTGTAAAGTTTGGTGGAGGGGGGATTATGGTGTGGGGGTTGTTTTTTAAGGGTTGGGCTTGGCCCCTTAGTTCCAGTGAAGGGAACTCTTAAGGCATCAGCATACCAAGACATTTTGGACAATTTCATGCTCCCAACTTTGTGGGAACCGTTTGGGGATGGCCCCTTCATGTTCCAACATGACTGCGCACCAGCGCACAAAGCAAGGTCCATAAAGACACGGATGAGCGAGTTTGGGGTGAAGGAACTTGACAGGTCTGCACAGAGTCCTGACCTCAACCCCATAGAACACCTTTGAGATGAATTGGAGCGGAGACTGCGAGCCCGGCCTTCTCGTCCAACATCAATACCTGACCGCACAAATGCGCATCTGGAAGAATGGTCAAACAATCCCATAGACACACTCCTAAACCTTGTGGACAGCCTTCCCAGAAGAGTTGATGCTGTTATAGCTGCAAAGGGTGGGCCAACTTAAAATTGAACCCTACGGACTAAGACTGGGATGCCATTAGAGTTCATGTGCGTGTAAAGGCAGGCGTCCCAATACTTTTGGTAATATAGTGTATCATTCCCTGGCTGAAGCTATTCAACGCCATGAGCTTACAATACAATTATTTTTTTTAAAAATTCATAACAGGTGGGAAAAAAGTAATCTTTGGTTTCGCCCTGACAAATTCTGCTGCAGGAGGTGCGTTGCAGTGCCATTCATTTCAATGACACCCCAAACGCGCCTCCCACCCACAGTGTGATCGCCCACACTGGAACGCAATGCTGTGCGTTCCATTGCTGAGCGATTGCAAAAAATTGTGCATGCAGTTTTATTCTTTTGTAAACTTTATGTTTGTAACACTGCATTTGTGTATTTCTTTTTTAAATTATGGTATTTTATGTAATATTTTTGTTATACGATCTAAAAAATAATCAGCCAACTAATCCATTATGAAAATAATCATTATTTGCAGCCCTAGATGGAACATGCTTACTCTCGCTTCACCTGGAAATCCAAACATACATAAAGCAGAACTAAAATATGCTTAACACTACACTCATGTGATCATAAATAGTAATGTTGTCACATCTTAGCCTTCAAAACTCAGTAATTTGCTTTGTGTTTTTCCTTAAATTAGATTCTTCCCACCATGTGTCTTCTTCTCAGCCTCAATGCATCCTTGTAGAGAGAATGACTGGAAGCAGAGGTTATATCACAAAGAAAATTTGAATAGTAAGACTGATCCCTGCAGCACCATCAACTGCTCAATTTGCAGAGAGCTGAGGAAAGCCCGTGACTTCTGAGCTAGGCAGATAGAACAGATAGTGACCTGGCCAGGATTCGAACCAGGGACCCACAGTGCTACAAAGGCAGAAGCTGTTGTACCTATACCTCACCTTGGACACATATAGATGCAGCCATTATGAAGATACCTTTGCAAGTATGCAAAGTATATTTATTTTATAGGTATTTTGAAATAAATGTATGTATAAATGGTACAGCTACATTTATGCTTTAAATCTGCTTTATGGCATGAATATACCAGAATGTGTAGAGGGTTGTGTATAAAAGGCAATTGTTTTTTGCTTCAGACCTGTGTTTGTGAAGCAGTCTGGGAAGGTTTGGAGCAATACGCTCAATTCACAAATTTTCAAACACAAGTTCACAGATCTTTCTTTTAGCCAAATAAGTGTAATTTTCTAACCCCATTGGAAATAATTGTTACTTGTTTTACATGAAGGATCCTTATCCTAGTTCTTTCGCTTTGTGAATGAAGCCTGATTTCTGAATTTTGGTTTGGATCCTATAAAACAGTGCTCAGCTGTACTTACCAAATGCAAACAAAAGTAAGTCAGCAGGTAGTCAAAAACAGCTCAAACTATTCTCACACTCAAGCTATTTTTCTCAGAAAGGAATGCATGCTACTTGTTCTCGAGTCTGCCGACTCTGTACACAAACTCTGGGGCAGCCATATAAAAATAAATCAGAGCTCAGGGTAGAGTACCATAGCAAATTTTCACTCTGTGTGCAATGTGTGACATTTTATGAGATAGAGTAAATGCCTCTTTTCCTTTTATTAATCTGTCTCAGAACAATCAGTCGCTAACATCCTTAACTTGTTTGAATATACTAAAAATCTAAAAGAGATGATCAACCTATCTTGCTGCAACGTTCCATCAGTCCATGACAACATGTCTATGGGAAAGAAAATAATTCTTCACAGATCACACAGTATTCTGAGCATTTTCAGCCCAGTAGAGAGCTCATTATCTTTCATTAGTCTGCAGTGCTAGTGCATACCAGACTGCTTAGGACTGGCTGTAAATCCTTCAAAAATCTGCAGCTTCATCTGATCTTCAAATTCTAATACATGCAAACACATACTAGAGATACTGACTTCCACTTATTATCCTTACCTGAACCGCATCTCTGGACTGCACATTACTAACAGTTGATGTAAGGTCCACATAGGCACCCGCGATAGCAATCTCACCAGTCTCCTTGACCTGAAACAAAGGAGCAGCTCAGTAACTTTCCCAGCTAGCAGTCCTTAAGGATTCTCAAGTAAGAACAAACATTTCAGGTCACTTTATCTTGACTGTAGTCATCTTCCCTGACATTTCATGACATGTGTCATCCAGTCCACACGGAGATCAATAAGTCTGATCCCTTGCTGGATCACATTGACATCACTCAGTGGTATAAAAGGTCAGATGTCTTTCAAACATCTTTAATGATTTGTTCTCTAAATTAGGCTGTGTCTATATAAATTGTCCTGTTTAGTGTCATTTTCTCTGCTTTTTGCTTGAAAGAAGACACCTTTGGGTTAAACAGACAGAAGAAAACGTTAAACTGAAGAAAACAAAAAGGTTTAAAATACAATCTTTTTGTAAATAATCTTTTTTTCTATAATGCAGCCCAATTTATTTTCTTCTCATTAATCTACACTCAGTACCCCATAATGACAAAGTGAAAACAGAATTTTAGAATTGTAATTGGCCTAGCATCTTATGTATATTTTTCATGTCTGTTTATGCTAAGTAATGTGACAGTCTCCATTCACACACATCTGTGATGCAGCTTTGCAGGTGCATTGCAGGATACATTGCTTCAGGGCAGTCCATTCATTTAAATGGGCTGCCCACTGCAGCTAAATAACACTCAAAGAAGTCCATGACCCTTTTTCTTTTAAATCGCATCGCACCTTAAAAGGAGAACTATGACATGAGTGATTTCCACTCATCTCATAGTTCTAAGCCGACCTGTGACAATGAGACAGTCACAGGTCGGCTCAGTAGATCGGGAGGTGAGGGAACACATACCGGGTTCCCTCACCTCTCGATCCTGTCACGGCTCTCTGCCGTGACAGGGGGAGGGGCTGGATTCCCCTCTCCCCGCTCCGATCTGCCAGCGCTGACTGGCGGAACGGACGGGGGAGGGGGCGGGTACAGCTGGCTCTGCCTCTAGATAGGCAGAGCCAGCTGTCACTCACGCAGCTGGGCGGATCCCGTCATCTAAGTCGGGATCCGCTCCAGGTGCGGCGTCTCAGTATACCGCGAGCTGTAGCTCGCGGTATACTGAGCTTAGGGTAACGGGAGGACGCTAGTTTGTGTCCTCCCGTTACCCCAAGGAGAACTATGGGGAAAAACACTGACCCCATAGTTCTCGTTTAAGGCATGTTAATAGTCTACTATGTGATTATTATTATTACTATTATTATTATATAGGATTTACAGTATCTCACAGGAGTACACCCCTCACATTTTTGTAAATATTTTATTATATCATTTCATGTGATGACACAGAAGAAATAACACTTTGCTACAATGTAAAGTAGTGAGTGTACAGCTTATATATCAGTGTACATTTGCTGTCCCCTCAAAATAACTCAACACACAGCCATTAATGTCTAAACTGCTGGCAACAAAAGTGAGTATACCCCTAAGTGAAAATGTCCAAAATGGGCCCAAAGTGTCAATATTTTGTGTGGCCACCATTATTTTACAGCACTGCCTTAACCCTCTTGGGCACGGAGTTCACCAGAGCTTCACAGGTTGCCACTGGAGTCCTCTTCCACTCCTCCATGATGACATCAAGGAGCTTATGGATGTTAGAGATCTTGCGCTCCTCCACCTTCCGTTTGAGGATACCCCACAGATGCTCAATAGGGTTTAGGTCTGGAGACATGCTTGGCCAGTCCATCACCTTTACCCTCAGCTTCTTTAGCAAGGCAGTGGTTGTCTTGGAGGTGTGTTTGGGGTCGTTATCAAGTTGGGATACTGCCCTACGGCCCAGTCTCCGAAGGGAGGGGGATCATGCTCTGCTTCAGTATGTCACAGTACATGTTGGCATTCATGGTTCGCTCAATGAACTGTAGCTCACCAGTGTCGGCAGCACTCATGCAGCCCCAGACCATGACACTCCCACCACCATGCTTGACTGTAGGCAAGACACCTACAGAGGGCTGAATTCTTTGTACTCCTCACCTGGTTGCCGTCACACACGTTTGACCCCATCTAAACCAAATAAGTTTATCTTAGTCTCATCATACCAAAGGACAGGGCTCCAGTAATCCATGTCCTTAGTCTGCTTGTCTTCAGCAAACTATTTGCTGGCTTTTTTATTGTGCATCATCTTTAGAAGAGGCTTCCTTCTGGGACGACAGCCATGCAGACCAATTTGATACAATGTGCGGCGTATGGTCTGAGCACCGACAGGCTTACCCCCGACCCCTTTAACCTCTGCAGCAATGCTGGCACACTCATACGTCTATTTCCCAAAGACGACCTCTGTATATGACGCTGAGCACGTGCACTCAACTTATTTGGTTGACCATGGCGAGGCCTGTTCTGAGTGGAACCTGTCCTGTTAAACCGCTGTATGGTCTTGGCCACTGTGCTGCAGCTCAGTTTTAGGGTCTTGGCAATCTTCTTATAGCCTAGGCCATCTTTATGTAGAGCAACAACTTTTTTTTCAGATCCTCAGAGAGCTCTTTGCCATGAGGTGCCATGTTGAACTTCCAGTGACCAGTATGAGAGAGTGAGAGCGATAACACGAAATTTAACACACCTGCTCCCCATTCATCCCGGAGACCTTGTAACACTAATGGGTCACATGACACCAGGGAGGGAAAATGGCTAATTGAGCCCAATTTGGACATTTTCACTTAGGGGTATACTCACTTCTGTTGCCAGCGGTTTAGACATTAATGGCTGTGTGTTCAGTTATTTTGAGGGGACAGCAAATGTACACTGATATACAAGCTGTGCACTCACTGCTTTACATTGTAGCAAAGTGTCATGTCTTCCGTGTCGTCACATGAAATGATATAAGAAAATATTTACAAAAATGTGAGGGGTGTACTCACTTCTGTGAGATACTGATATATATATATATATATATATACACACACACACACACACATACTATATATATATATATTTATACACACATACATATTATACATATACATACATACATACATATACACTGCTCAAAAAAATTAAAGGAACACTTTTTAATCAGAGTATAGCATCAAGTCAATTAAACTCCTGGGATATTGATCAGGTCAGTTAAGTAGCAGAGGGGGTTGTTAATCAGTTTCAGCTGCTTTAGTGTTAATGAAATAAACAACAGGTGCACTAGATGGGCAACAATGAGACGACCTCCAAAACAGGAATGTTTTTACAGGTGGAGGCCACTGACATTTTCCCTACTCGTCTTTTCTGACTGCTTTTCACTAGTTTTACATTTGGCTGGAGTCAGTGTCACTACTGGTAGCATGAGGCGATACCTGGACCCTATAGAGTTTGCACAGGCATGCCAACTCCTCCAGGATGGCACATCAATATGAGCCATTGCCAGAAGGTTTGCTGTGTCTCCCAGCACATTCTCAAGAGCATGGAGGAGATTCCAGGACACTGGCAGTTACCCTAGGAGAGCTGGGCAGGGCCGTAGAAGGTCCTTAACACATCCGCAGGACCAGTATCTGCTCCTTTGCGCAAGGAAGAACAGGATGAGCGCTGCCAAAGCCCTACAAAATGACCTCCAGCAGGCCACTGGTGTGAATGTCTCTGACTAAACAATCGGAAACAGACTTCATGAGGGTGGCCTGAGGGCCCGACATCCTCTAGTGGGCCCTGTGCTCACTGCCCGGCACTGTGGAGGTCGATTGGCATTTGCCATTGAACACCAGAATTGGCAAGTCCGCCACTGGCGCCCTGTGCTTTTTACAGATGAGAGCAGATTCACTATTGAGCACATATGACAGATGTGAAAGGGTCTGGAGAAGCCATGGAGAACGTTATGCTGCCTGTAACATCGTTCAGCATGACTGGTTTGGTGGTGGGTCAGTGATGGTTTGGGGAGGCATATCCATGGAGGGACGCACAGACCTCCACAGGCTAGACAATGGCACCCTGAGTGCCATTGGGTATCAGGATGAAATCCATGGACCCATTGTCAGACCCTACGCTGGTGCACGACCGACAATGCCCAGCCACATGTGGTGAGACCATACAGCCAGTTCCTTGAGGATGAAGAAGTTGATACCATTTAATGGCTCCCACGCTCGCCTGACCTCAATCCAATAGAACACCTCTGGGACATTATGTCTCGGTCCATCCGAGGCCGCCAGGTTGCACCTCACTCTGTTCAGGAGCTCAGTGATGCCCTGGTCCAAATATGGGAGGAGATACCCCAGGACATCATCCGTCGTCTCATTAGGAGCATGCCCCAACGTCGTCAGGCATCCACGCAAGCATGTGGGGGCCATACAAATTACATTAAATGAAATCTCAGCACAATGGACTAGCTTGCTGTATCATTTGTTTACTTTGATTTTCGGGGTGTCTTTGAATTCAGCCCTCTGTAGGTTGATCATTTTTCATTTTCATCAAACGAAGTGGCATCCTTTTGTTCCTAACACATTACCTAGTCCAGTATACAGTAGATATCCAGCATTATATTTTTCCCCATTGAGATCTAATGTGTTTTTAAAGTGTTCCTTTAATTTTTTTGAGGAGTGCACTCCACATGGGTGGCTCTGTTGCCACCTGCAACTGATTTAAAAATCAACTGAGCCGGGTAGAAAATGAATGGCCAAAAAGTGACTACTTTCCATCAGACGCAGTCATTGTTCAGGTTCAGACCGCCACAGGCTGAACGAGTGAACCCTCCATGCCACCGGCTGAACGAGAGAAATCTAAATGTGTATGGCTACCCTTAGTACAAAAGATGGAAAATGATAGTATTTGCAATGTACAAACAAATTAAATACATATAT